GTGGCGGAAGACGGTGGTGAAAAATGGTGGCGGGTGGTGGCTAGTGTTGGGTGATAAAAAAAAAACTTAAAACTCAAAACGGAAATACATTTTTTTGCCAAATTTATAAACTGAGACCACTGATTTATAAATCAAAAATTTTACCAAACAAATTTTTATTTAAATTTTTAAAATTTTTATAAATATAAATAAAAAATTAAAAACGTAAGTGTTATCAAACAACACCCACTTAATCTTCCCATATAGTTTACAAAAATGCTCTTTTTGGATCAGAATGTAGTCTTGATCTCTTTCTCGAGAAGTTATATTCGAGTAAGTGGCGTATAATTATTAAATAATGTGAGATTTATAATTTTGTATTTCTTAAGCCTAAATTTATTTAGGATAACAATAGTAAAAAGTGAGAGAAATAAAAATAAAATATTTTTTTGAATTTGTTTGCATGAGAGTTGTGAAAGTTATAAATAAGTTAATTTTTTTTTTTTTATACAACTCATGATAGTATGATAACTAAATTTTTAATTTTCTTTTAAAAGAAATATTAAAATACAAAAAAATTAAATTTATTATAAAACTAAGGAGTACTTAAAATTAGAATTCTTATTTTACTGTAAAATTTCCATCTTAATCAATTTCATATAAAAAAATATATTTTAATTTTTTTCTTTTTTTCACTCTACGTTTTATCATTTATTTGTTTTTAAATAAAACCTAAAAGAAAATGACAGGCATAATAATAATTTGTGACCAAGGACATTGAATAAATTTTTCATACCTAATAGTGGGACCAATAAGTGTGAAAGAAGAAGCGAGTCAATCCAACTTTTTTATACTGACTTTTACAATACTTTCTCCTTTAGGGAGATGCTAGAGAGCTCTAAATCTAGAGCTCTAATTTGAGCTCTAGTGATGTGTCCAAGTAATAAAAAAATAAAAAAAAAACAAGACAAAGCACAAACATCACATCAGTGTGGGTTTTACATTCCCATTAGAGCTATTAGAGCTCCTATATTAGAGCTCTAAAACATTTTTGTTCTCCTTTAAGATGAAATGGAGACTCCCATCACTCAATTGGCTGGAAATAGATTCTCTCCGATTTTGTAGATTAGACTGGATAATCGAGAGATTTGGGGTGTCTCTTGGGCTGTCGTTGGGGTTCATTTCAGAATTTATTTTGATAATTTGAATCATTTATAGTTTAAAATATTTCAAATAAAATATATCTATAAAAAAAATAAGTTAATTGGATATCATTAATATTTTTATCCACACACATTTGTATTATTTTAATACTTTAAATCATAATACTATTTGTTTTTATAGATACAAATATGCGTGGATGAAAAGGTTAACGATATCCGATTAACTTGATTTTTTGTATCTATATTATACTCTATATATTCTAAAATATGAATAATTTAAATTATCAAAACAGATCCCGAAATGAGCCCATAAAATCACACGGTAGTGCCTGCTGCGTTAGGCATCCCAAATCCATAATGGAATTTGATAGCTTAAGGGAAAATTGCCATTAAGTTAAAATTTATTATAAATTTATGACAAAATTTATAATTTTAATTAATTTATTACTTATTTATAATTATTTTTTAAAATTCTAACTGAACTGTAATTTTTTCAAAATTTATTACGTTTATTTTTTCAGTTTTGGCGTGTAGATTGTCAATAGATTTTTTTTTTAATTGATCTAGTAACCATAATTACATAATTTTATAATATTAGAATAAAAAAAAATAATCATGATTAAGTGCAGCCACATTTATTAAATTAATTTAAATTTTCATAAATGTACATTGAGACTTAAAAAAAAACTAAACAAATAAAACATTAAACATGACTCATAAAAAAGCAAAATCAATTTAGGAAAAATTAGTGAAACATTTCCCTTTAATTTTATGTAGTACGAGAGATCAAAGATATTTTTTTTTATTAGTTAAGGTCCCTTGAATAAATTTTTCTATGATTATATTAGAAAAATTTCTCTGAGTCAAGTGAAATTTCTCTTAATTGAATTTTTTCTATAAAAATATTGAGGGACCTTAACTAATAGAAAATATTATATATTTTTTATTTTATAAAATTTTAATATCAAGAGTCTTAAAAAAAATTCTCCGTGAATTTACTATATTTTTTTACATGGGAAACATTATAGTAGGTGTCTTCAAAGAAATTGTGTATCATATGTACCTCGTAATTTAAAAAAAAAATAAAAAATCATAACTTCATAATTTCTAAGTCATAATTAAAAAAAATTATCATAACTAAATATAAGGGTAAATTACAAATACATCCCTTGAAATTTGTTTAAAGTACAGATTGCCTCCTGTGGTTTGAAAAATTACAATTCCCTCATTGTTAGTATTTTTTATTTAACAGAATTAACTAAAAAAATAAAATTCATAATTACTCTCTTATATAATAATAAAATTACCTAAATTATTAATTGAAATATGGGGATTTTTTTTAAGGTTCCTGGTATTAAGATTTTATAGTATAAATGACACTCAATATTTTCATAATGCCTAAGGTCCCTCAACATTGATCCAGAGAAAATTTGATCCAAAGAAAATTCGATACAGAGAATTTCTCTGGACACGTCACAAAGAAATTTCAAAATTTCTTTGGACTTCCCAAACCCAGATAAATTCCCAGACAAGCATTTCCAGAGATTCTCTCACCCAAAGAATTTCTCTGGACTCCACAACCCAGAGAAATTTTCTAGACAAATATTTCCAGAGAAATTCTCTTAACCCAGAGAATTTCTTTGGACTCCACAACGCAGAGAAAATCCCAGACAAACCTTTCCATATTTGCCAGCACTTGTATTTGAACCCACAGTTGAAAGGCCATGGGAAAAAGATCAAAAGGATTTGTATTGCGTGTCTAGTGGAAGGCACTGTTGGTCATGGAGAAAAGCAAAAGCCTTCACACTTCGTTGAGCTTGATCCATCTTATCGATCACCACTTCATCTTCACATATTCATCATATATACACAATTATATATATATATATATATATATATATATATATATTATTCCTGTAATTCATCAATCTCAAAGACCATTTTTGTGAAATTGATTCAATTTTCAGTGTTATGCTTCAACTTTGCTTCGAAATTTTCGCGAATTTTGTCCAGGTGAGGGACAATTTCTATACTTATATACATACACATAGGTATATATGTTGGAAGGATGCACCACTGAGTTGTCACAATGTTGGCGAGTAGGTCGGCGAAGACGGTGCTGATTGGTGAGCTGGTATGGTGTCGATGTGAGCCAACAGCGACTTGGGTCACAGTGTCGGTGTGTTCGGAGTTGCTGCGATGGGCGGTGTGCAAACGACGGTGATCCTCGGCAGCGGTGGGAGATAGACGAAACATTGGTTTGATGTAGGGGGGAGAGAGAGAGCAGAGAGTGAAAAGAGAGACCGAACTCAGATTTTGAAGCCCTTTCGTTTCTTCTTAAATTTCTCTGTGATATATGAGTTTGGGGTTGAAGGACTTCAAACATCGCAAAATAACATTGTGGATCTCTTCCATTATTAAAAGCGGGAGAGAGACCTTAGACTAATTTTTCCTTAAAATATATTTTTAATATCATTAAAAACGGTTAATTAACGTAATGATTTATTAATAAAAGAAACGACTTATTATGAAATTAAAAATCTCAGGAGGTGAAATGTAATTTCTAAAATTACAAAAAGTGATTTGTATTTTAATCAAATTTCAAAAAATATAGTTATAATTTACCCCAAATATAAAGATGTAATTAAAAATGTCATAAATCATAACTTAAAAAAAAAAAATTATAATTAAAAAAAAATCATAATTAACAAAAACATATCATACATATATTAAAAGTATGGAAAATGCGGGGACCCCAGTACGAGGCGACCCCCCACGACCCTCAGCCCACGTGGCTGTGGGTGATTGGTAGGAAAAAAAAATAAAAAATAAAAAAATTTGACGAATGACGTTGCGCCACGACACTGGGTCGACTCCAGTGGAGTCTGCAGCAGTGTTATAAAAGTATAATTAAAATATATTTATATATGTCCCTTATCAAATCCATCAATCAAACAGCCAAGGAGATCAGTGTAATTTAACGAATATTTTACAGTAGCAGACAATACAGCAGTGAAGAAAGTCTATGGCGCTTGATGTCTCCATTCAACCTCTCTCCTCTCTTCCTCTACTGAGACCAGAGTGAGAACAGAGACAGAGACCAGGAATCCCACTCTCTCTCTCTCTCTCTCACACACACACACACACACACACTACAGCTCGTCCAATCGTAAGAGAAATCGATTTGATCAAAATCGATCTTCAAGTCAATCTCTGTTTGAGTACAATCTTGTAGAAGCGGGGTTGCACCAGAAAATGCCCAATTGGGAGCTGAAGAAGTGCTGCAACCATGAACAAGTCGTGTTCCTCTCCACCATCTCCATCTGCACTGTGGTCATTCTTGCGGTATCTATTTCTTTATCTTCAACTTTAAACCAAAATCGCATTTTATTAAAGACCCATTTTCCTTTTACACTCACTGAAGTCTACATTTGATACACATGTTTGTTTTTCAACTCCTTTATTAGTTCATAGAAGAGCAAGTAGGTGTTTTCCATGTGGGTGGGTATGTTGTGTACCCCATTGATCAAATTTTTGGGATCAAATTGGTTTTGAAGCTGTGACATGTTGAAGATTTTGGAATTATAAACTTTGTTTAATTCAAACAAGTGTTGAATTGGGGCACTTATAGCATTAATTTGTATACTGTACTTTTTGTGGTCTCTGGTTGTCTTGATCTACTGGTCCAGGAAGTCTCTACTTTTGTAGTTTTGTTATAAAAACTACATAATTCAATGATTTTAGTATATCGGATACCTATAGAAGGTTATTTTCTATGTCACTTTTAGTTATGGCATATCTTATCATGAAGATCAAGGGTTGGCCTGTTGGATGAGTTATTCTTTGCCGCTTGTGATGACTGGGTTCAAGTCACCAACGTACCAGTCTGCGTGCAGCGTGCATATAGATATCGGCTGTATCGTACAATTTTGACAATGCTCAGAAAATGAGAGAAAAATTAAGGAATATTTTATAAAATTGATTTTAGTACTTTTCCTATATTGACATATATAGAAAAAGGGGTGATCCATACGAGACTCCCACTAAAGCAGAGGGGCTAGGTTTTGAGAGGTTGTTTCCATGGGAGTCCGGATCCTCGGCCGCCCATTCCTGCGGCCGTTCTTGTGGCACCCCCAAAACGACGTCGTTTTGGGGGAAATTTCAATTAAAAAAAGAAAAAAAGAAGACAGAACAGAATCAAAGAAGGAAGAAGGGAGAAGAAGGAAGGAGAAGGCAGATCTCCTTCTCTGGCCACCTGTGTCATGACTTACCAAGAACACAAGAATAATTTGAACAATCCAAAATAGCCATGGTCATCATCCAAAATGGCCATTTTTCCCAAGAACACAAACAATAATTTCATAATCATTATCAACAACAATAACTAAAAAAAAAAAAATTGCAGACCCATCTGTGAGAATCAGAGAGAAAGAGGGGAAGAGGATGGCCATGGTAATTTCCCAAGAACACACAAAGAATACAAAAAATAAACCCAGAAAATTTTTCCAAGAACACAAGCTCTGCATTTTAGATTCTGATTTCATAATCATCATCAACAACAATAACTATAAAAAAAAAATGCAAACCCATAAAAAAAGAAAAATATGTGAGATCTACAAATGAGATCAGAATCTAATATAAACCCAAGAACACTGATATAAATAAGACCTACAAACCCAATCAACATATATGAGATTCACTAAAACTGATATAAACCCAAGAACATTGATATAATTTCATCACCCATTTGAATGCAAATCAAACACCTTCAGTTGCATCCATGAATCAAACCCACTTTGAGTCGAGTCCGAATCAAACCCATTTTGTGCGGAGTTGAATCCATGAATCAAACCACCCATTTGAATGCAAATCAAACACCTTCAGTTGCATCCATGAATCAAACCCATTTTGTGCTGAGTTGAATCCATGAATCAAACCCACTTTGATTCCATGGTGCTGAGATGAATCCATGGTGCTGAGTTGAATCCATTAATCAATCCATGAATCCATGAATCAAATCCATGAAGTGAATCCATGAATCAAACCCACTTTGGAACACACAAAGTGGATGGATGGCATCTGTTATCCATCTCTCTCTCTCTCTCTCACACACACACGGCGATGCAGATTTCTTCTCCCTTCTTCCTTGATTTTGTTCTGTCTTCTTTTTTTTTTTTTTAATTGAAATTTCCCCCAAAACGATGTCGTTTTGGGGGTGCCGCAGGAACGGCCGTAGGAATGGGCGGCCGAGGATCCAGACTCGTTTCCATGGGAAGCCTTGCTAGCTGCCCTTTGCAGACAATTATTTGCGGAAAGCTTGAGAAAGTAAATTATTTGCAGAAGCTTGCACAATGTCTGAATTAAAGTTGATGATTAAGTAGAAGATTGAATTGATTGGAATTTTAGCTACTCCTAAAGCCAAATTGGTGCATTGAGCTGTCATGGTAGATTGAAGAAATTAGGAGCTTTCACTTTCTTCAATTGTTTTAGGTTGGTTGTTTGTTGAGACTTGTTATTATTTCTTTGTTTGCAACTTTGTGTTTCTAATCTCTTTTTCCTGCTGTAGCTATGGAGGACGATACTGCTATTGCCATTCAAGCTTGTCACTGTATTTCTTCACGAAGCCAGCCATGCTATCGCTTGTAAACTCACATGTGGCCATGTAAGAAGCTTTTTTTTATTTATTTTTCTTTGTTTTTACTGTCCAATATGTGTGTTAGTGTCATTTTATAGTGGTTCATGTCATAGATTTGCTATGAATATCTATATGAACGAGTCAGAACTCCCAGCAGAAACCATGTTTTTTGTGCTTAATAGCACAATAGCAACCCAAACTTGAAATTGTCTCCACTGTTTTCAGCATAATGTTCATAGCAATCCCAAGGATGCACAAATAAATATATGCTGACCATATTTGACAAAAGCTGTTTTGAACTTGAAGCAGCTTATTATATAGAAATGACAGCCCAGTATAGCTCGTTTCAGAAGTCATGTAATCTAAATCATTCGCAATTATAATTGAAGGCTTTGGTGTGATACCTGATTAGGCCATCTGGTGTCCCATGTCATTTGCTGAATGGAGGACTTCGCAAGAAATGCTCCAATTTAGATTTACATACATCAATGGAAAAATTCATTCACCATCCAAATTGGATTTTAAATCACTAAATTGCTAAAGCATGGACGAGGGGAAGTTATGTCTTGATATTGTAAATGGATCTCACCTATGGAAGTTAATGATATTGTAAATGATAAAAGGATTTACAATAAAAAGGATTATGCAACCAAACATGGATCTCATCTATTGGAAGTTAATGTTATCATTAACTTATTAACTTCCAAAAATGGAATATTTTCAAGACATAACTCTGATATTGTAAATGAATCTCATCTATGTCTGAATAGGGCACACTGATATGCAAGGGTCTTTGATTAAAAGATGATGTCCCAGAAACTCTGAGTTGCCTTCTTTAATGATAAAAATGATTATGCAACCAAACATAGAAACCTTGAACAATTTCCAGTGTATTGCCCTATCCAATTTTCATTAATAACTTGCTCCTACACTTTAGAGGAACTTGTTGAAGAAGTGTTGGTTTTCTTGGTGAATATTGGTGCAGCATTTGCAATTTTTTTGAGATCCCCTTGTTGAAGAAGTGTTGGTTTTCTTGCTGCTTTGGATCATTTAGATGTTTTCTCATATACTTTGATATGCAGGTGGAGGCAATCCAAGTTAATGCTGATGAAGGTGGATTTACACAAACACGTGGTGGCGTATATTGGGTGATCTTGCCAGCTGGATGTTGTCCCTTGCTCATTCTTGATAAATTTTCTTTTTATTGCCAGAATGCAAAACTATTATTTTCATGCGACAAAATGCATTTTTGGAACATGCCAAGCATCCTTGACTTCCATGTTACTAAGTTATAATGCGCCCACATTATTCACCATGTTTGCTCAAGCTTTTTTATATTGTTGTTTTTGAATGACAAGAAGTTTCTTTTGACATTTTCAAACTTATCTTTGGAACTGGCTCACATTGTTTTTTTGTGGCATTCCAGATCTTGGGTCCGCATTTTGGGGGATGGTTTTGATACTTGCATCCACAAATCTTCTCACGGCAAGAATTGCTGCTGGATGTTTTGCCTTTGCACTTCTTGTTGTACTATTTGTAGCTAAAAATGTAAGGTTGTGGATGCTAAAGACATTCACTTCTTTGCTGATTCTAGAACTCATTGGGTTTTTGAAATCCTCATTGACGTGTGATAATTCATAAGTGACTTTACAGAGCCTTTAGCATTTTTAATAATAAATATACAATAGGCGTGTACTTTTCACTGGTTTAGTGGTTAAAACTCGCTCTATCAGCCTTGAGGTTGTGCGTTTCAATCTAAGGATTGCCACTTTGTGTAAATAATGTTAAAGGTTAGGTCTGTACCCTATTTATCCCCTCCTAGACCCCCATCCAATGGGGACTAAACAGACCGTGGTTTTATATTCTGTAGACATGTCTGCATTTTGAAGTTCTGAAATGACTCTTTATAGCATGTCTTCAGGAAAAGAAAAACTTCCTTTAAGAGACAACATAAGATTTAGTGTAATTTCGGTTTTAATCAAAATTAAGCCTTTTTAGGGCAAATTACATATACCTCCCTTGAGGTTTGGCTAAATTACAGATACTCCTAAGGTTTCAGAAATTACATCCCGCCCCCTAAGGTTTGTATTTTCATAACAATTTGCCCCCTGAGGTTTAAATTTCATAACAAATTACCCCCTAATTTGTTATGCAAATATAGCATTTAGGGGAGAATTTGTAATTTCTCAAACCTCAGGGGGTATTTGTAATTTAGCCAAACCTCGAGGGAGGTATATGTAATTTGCCCGTCTTTTTATGTTAATCTGACTTTCAAATGCCGCCTTCATGGTTCAACATAATTTTTGAATTGTTTAAAAATATTGCATTAGTTGTACTATTTAACAGTGCCATATTTGCATGACTCTCACTACCTGTATTTTGTGATTTAAACAGTGGACACTTCGGGGGCTTTGTATTGGTATGACCTTTCAGAATCTGGATAAATCGCGCTTCCTGAATACATACTGGCTGCAATATGAATGTGGTATTGATGTCTTCATTTTAAACCATCAGGTTTTATTATACTCCTTGGTGTAATTTGGGTTCTGCAAGAAACAACAAAGATCCGAATTCTGCGGTACATTATTCTATTCATTGGTAATGCCTTCATGCTTTTCTTACTGTTTTTCCATTTTTGTCAAATCAAATGCATCGAACGCTTTTGCTTCAGTTGAGGGATGACAGAATTGTCACTTATGTCTATCATTGGTTAAGTGCAGGTGTAATGAACAGTCTGTTTTCAGTATATGGTATGGTCTTGGAGTTAATAATTTATTATAATGTCAAGTGCGTATTAATGGAATTACAGCTGACTTGCAAGGAATGTGTGCCAATGCAGACATATACGATCAACTGATAATGGTGTTGGATGGGGTGTTATTTGGTGAGCATTTTTATCATCTGGAAGTGCATGAATTGTCTTCTCTGGTGAAATAACATAGAGTCCCCGACAACTCTGTGATATTTCTTGCTCTCTAATTTTGAAGAACTGTACCTGCAGGGGATTCATATCTTTTTTGTTTCTTTGTGGATCCATGTACCTTGGCCTTGTGATCTTGTCTTGAGGTATGATGTCCTTATATATCATTTTTTTAGTTAAGATATGTGGGTATGTTTTTTTTTAAAAATATTTTTGTCTAGGATAATGCTGGGAATGTCTGACATGAGGGACATGTTATAAGCTGATTGATATTGTATAATCTCATGTGGACACTTTCTAGTATGCTCGGTTGGAGTATTCTGTAATGAATCATATAGCATTTGAATGTTCAACTAAATGGTGATAATGGTATGAGATCATCTGTTGATGGGCAAATTGATCTTACCTAACCTAAACAATTGTTAACGAAAGCAAATAGCTTGTTTCAAATGTGATGGACACAACGGGGTTCAAATGCTGAATATAACATATTGGAACAATATATTTGTTTTTTTGACTTTCCAATGATCTGTTCATATAGGGGTCTCTCTGTTTTGCTTTTAGCAGCATTTAGATTAAGCTTATTTGTTACAGATTATCGTGTTGTCTGTGTACATTAGCTTTGTTGATCGCAAATGCAGGTGAAACAAAGTTCGATAAATCTCAAATATTCAATGGATTCAAAGCATGACCTAGTGGATGACATAATGTTGAAGCATGTGAGAGAATCACAAGCGAACAAATGTACGACTCACAAGCATTCACGTTACATATGACTCGTCTTTACTAAATAGAAGTACCTCTACCCTCTGATATCCTGATTCTTTGGGGATTCAACATTCCTCTTATGAGATGTTGTCCTTGACTTTTAAAATTCTAAACCAACAATAATTTTTCAGGCAACTTCAGGGGATAAATCCTCTTAACAATTTTGTCTTTTTCCTTTTATTTTTCTTTGGTGGAGAGGTTGTTTGGTGCTCTCTCCCCTCTTGTTATGTGAATTCTGTTCAGTGGAAATATTATTTATAGGAGTAAAATGATTTTGAAGTTTTATTTTTTGATTTTATTTCACTTTTTAGCATCTCGTAACGTTGCGTGCAAATTGCATTCTAAATTCTTTAAACTGTATGTTGCTGTCAGTATATCGTCGGTGAGATCACCATATTTTCATTAAAGAGATGCTCTAATCATGCTTTCATATCTTTATTCTCTGTTCATTGACTTAGATGTAGGTTCTATTTTTGACTACCTTCCTCAGCTCACAGCCTTCCCAACCTCGTGAACTTTTTTTGAATTTTTTTTTTTTTTTGAAAATAGAATTTAGTTGGACATAAATAAACAGTAAAATGTTATTTTTAAATTTTTTTGAGTTATTTTTGTACTAAAACAAATTAGGTGAAAATGATGAATGATTTTTATTTTTATTTTATCTTTTTTACTAGATTAAATTTTTAAAAAAATAAAACTTGAAAACCAAACCAAACCAAACAATGTGGGTAAGAACTGTTGTCAGTGTATCTACAAAATAAAAAAATATATGTAAAATATTAAAAAATTTACTAAAAATAAAAAATTATAAAAAAATAAAAAAATCAATTATTAGGGAAAAAAAAAATTAACCAAACAAGTTATTATGGAAAAAAAAAAACATATTAAATAAATTTTTACAAAAAAAGACAAACATAAACATAAGGGAAATTCTATTATATACGCCCTTTGAAAGGGGTATACCATATGCATTCCTAATTATGTAATTTTTTTTAGTTATGGCTAATTTTCTTCTTTACTTATGATAATAGTTATGATTTTTTTTTAGTTATAATTCAAAAAATATGAAATTATGCTATTTATTTTTTCAGTTATAGTGTTTCCCAGCAACAGGAGAGTTCAAGTAGATTCAAACATTCACTTTGATTGATTTGAGTGATTTGGAGAGAATAAAAAAAATTGTGAGAAATAGATTTCAATCCCTTATTTGAATTACCAAATATGAGAGAAATGGAAAGAGCATTGTGTTGTGTGATTTATCATTCTGATTGTTCAACATTATGGCTCATTGTGTGTGCGCACATTTAGCCTTCTATAAATAAAACCAAAATGTGAATGTGCACGTTATGAAATCTGGTAGAACGTAACTCTATGACACTATTGGCATGTTTGATTGGAAGGATTAGAGTATGGGATTGGGATTATTAATTCGCGGGCCCAATTATCCTATGTTTGTTTTGACATTTTGTTTTAAGATTATTAATCCAATGGATAATTAATCCAACAAATTTATAGAATTATTAGTAATGGGGTAGGGGTGGGATTGTGAATACCACACTAATTTGATTGGATTATTAATACCTCATTATTAGTTTTGTGGAATCAAACATAACCTATATGTATTCAACCTCAATCTCTCCTTATGTTGGAGAATGATATTTGTCATTTTTCATCCACTAAAAAATAATATAATTGTTAGCATCATAAATTTGCAATTTTTATTATTATTTATTATTTATATAATTGCAGGACACGTGGCATCCTCTTATTCATTTGGAAGTTAAAAGAAGTTATAGAGATAATGGAGAATATGAAGGACAAAGTGGATGAGTGGGAGGACAAAGTGGATGAGTGGAAGGACACATGGCAAGACAATAATGAAGATAGAAGAAATGGGTAGTTACTAAGTAGTTATTGCTGTATTTTTTCTTCTATAAATAGCCATTAATGGCTACATTGTAAAAGAGCCAGAACCATAAATCAAAGACAATTGATTTCAATATTTCTTGTCATTTTCCTTATCTTAGGAGTAGCTTAACATAGATTTATATTTCGAAGCATTTATTTTCAGCATTTCCATTTCGAAGCATTTTATGCACTTTCTTTTCGAAGCATAGGAGTAGAGGTAAGTAATTATTACTTTGATTGTTCACTCAATCATCTTTCTCCGTCCCTTTTTCTTCTTTTACTTTTTCTTTTCGCTACACTTGGCAAATTTGAAGTCCTCTTCGTTGAGGCAAAAGAACCGTCAACACAATCGCTTGATAATTGGCTTGAATTTAATCTGTAAGAATTTTTCAATCCTTGCTGGCACGCTCGCATTTATGATATTTTCCTTCGTAGGAAAAATAAGCCAACAATAATATAGTCCCCTAACCCATCTTTCTCGGTCTCTCTTCATTTCACAACAAGTTTAGATAGAGAATGGATCATGGATGGTAAACTTGAGACTCTATCTAAAGCCAATAATGATCTACCTAACCTTGAACCTGAATCTCCATCTAAACCTTGAACCTGACTCTCCATCTTCCCTTTCGGTGAGAGTTAACATTATCGCTGATAAGTGTAACGCAAGGGATATATATACAGTATATTCTATGGGTTTTTCTGATAAAATATTTATAAGGTTAGAATAGGCCACAAAAAGCCTCCAATATAAGAAAAAAGATTTGATGAAACATAAGTTCAAATGTATAAGATTTATTGGAATACAAAAATATCTTATAGACTCATTGTGATACAAATTCATTAAAAATGATTTTTAAATGGGAAAATAACTACACAATGGAATGGGAAAATGACTACACAATGGAATAGAAAAAATAAAAAGAAACAAATATGGAGAGATGCAAGTCTTGCACTCCCACAACTTTTTACTTGTACCCTATTACATAATGACTCGTATCCCACATTTTTTAAATTTTTTTTGTCTCATTGTGCTATAATTTCTTAAAAAAAAAAAAAAAAAAGAGAAAATTAGTGAAACGTTCTTTCTAACTTTGGGTAGTAGGACAGATCCAATATGTTTTTTTTTTATTAACCAAGGTCCATCGATGAAATTTATATGTGATAATACCAGAGAAATTTTTGAAATTTTTTGTGTTAGGGCAAAATTTCTGTATGTCAAATTTTCTTTATGAAAATTCTAAGCGACCCCAACTATTATAAAAATATTATATATCCTTTATCTCATAAAATTTGAATATCAGGAATTTTAAAAAAAATGAAAATGATTAGTAATTCGAATTTGAATTCACCCAAAAGCCCAAATTTATGCTTGCCTGTCGACCGTTCGGACGATCGCTCGGCCAACCACCCATACGACCGATGCAATACTTTTCTATTGCAGTTGTTACTCTTGTCAACTGCAACTATTATCTTCTTGACAAATGACTAACCGAACAATTGATAAATTAAAATTTAGATGATTTGAGTAAGCTAAAATTCGGGCAATGTAACACTACTAAAACAAAATTGAAACTTGAATAAAATAACATATGCCTATTGGCATACCGATTAACCCAATAATATCAATAAATACTTTCCGCAAAAACCCCAATTTGGGAACCCAGTAGAAGAAGAAGAAGAAGAAGAAGAAGAGAAAGCACAGCTCAAGCATCCAAGAAGAAGAAGAATAGCAATGTCGGACTTTCTCCCAGACGAAATCATGGTGGAAATCCTCCAAAGACTACCCACCAAATCCCTAATCCAATTCTGGTCTGTTTCCAAATCATGGTACTCTCTTATCACAAGCCCTAGTTTCATCAATACCCACCTCAATCACTCACTCACTCACTCACTCACTTCCAATACCTACATAAACAGCTATGATAATTTCCCACTCATGAAGTATAATCTGTTTAAAAAGTATAATATTTGTGAAAAAAAAGAAAAATTCACCAATTAAAAAAAATACAAAATAAATACAAAAATTCAAAAATATGTATTAAGTGGATGTAAAAATGAAATATAAAAATTGATTAAAATATTAAAAATACAAAAATATGAATTAAAAATTTAAAAATTTATGTTTGAAAATTCAAAACCAAACAGGTTTTCTGACACTTATCTTGGCATGGATTTGGTGAGGGAAAAGTGGGAATATGAGGGGAAAAGAAAAAAAAATGAAAATGATTATTCCTTGGTTAGTTACTATAGAATACAAATGATGAAAATTAAATACATTAAAAAATATTATTTTCTTAAGAAATTTTCATCCAAGATCTTTTTTATTTTTATATTTGTTGGTGATAATTATAAATAAAACACCAGAAAATACAAATAATAAAAATTACAATAATTATTGTAAGGGCTGAGGCGCGGGAAATTCGCTCTCTTTAAGGAGATTCAAGCCCTCTGCGGTTAGGCAAAGTCTCACACTGGTGTAGCAGAAAAAACTTTGACTTGTCTCCCTCAGGATACAACAGTCCGACTAAGTCGTATGGTTCACCAACACTGCACAATTGGTCGAATCCAAAGTTTCATCACATATACCATTTTTTATTTGCCTGATAATTTCACACAAACATAATAAAACAACAAACACTCCTTCTATCCGTCAAAATAAGAAGTTAGCTCAATTTATAGGAGATGAAAGCTTGGTGGACAAGTTTCATGGAGGATTTTTGGAAGTTGCTTGGAGGATTCGTGGAAGTTGCTTAAGGATATTATGCATCATGGTAGGTGTGCTCTGCATTGAACCTCTATTAGTGAAACAATAATATCTACTCCAGAGCCAATAGTATGCTCAGTATTGAACTATGACTACTTAAGGGAAATAAATAATTATTGTATACACATAATATTCCAAGTGTTCACATAAGCTTTAAGAGCCAGCACATTATAGCCCAGTGCGATCCCAAGATTCATGAGTGTGTTTGAGAATTAACCCAAATCTCATAGGTAGCAGCCTTACTACCACACTCACATAGGTGAATTCTGTCTAGGGTGCTCTTATAACCATGACACCCCACTCAATAAAATCTATAGAAATTCATTAAGAGTTTTTTTAATAACTCAACCTGTACAACGTTACATGATAAATGAACTTACATCATAGGGATGGGTAAAAAGGAATTTAGTGCATTTCTTACGGCCATCATATGATCGTTCTTCTCATTGAACCCAGTTACAAGATCTCTGGTCCCTGGGTTGAATATCC